CCCTCCTGCAGTGCTGGGCCTTGTGCACTAGGCAGCTGCTCTGCCCTGAGCCCCTCAGCCTGACTTCTCTGTCTCACCCCTTTCCTGTCCCTGCCAGGACATCTGCTTCCTGATGCCTCTCCCATTTTCCTGGTCCTGGGGCCCCTGAGTCCCTGCTCTCCCTCTCTGCAGGGAACCCAGCCAGCTCTGAGCAGACAGCCCCATGTTGGTCCCCTGGCAAGGCCACACCTGGCTCTGCCCCCAACCCCTGTGACTGGCCAAGCACAGGCCATTTCAGACAGAGGTGGGACCACACGGTGTGTCAGGAAGCCGTCCTTCCTCTGGTGGCTGGACCAGGGTAGGAGGGCAGGGCCTGGGCCGGGTCTGCAGGGCCTTCTAAGGTGTGTGCAGTTATTTTACCAGCAAAAGGAAGTTTCCGACAGTGTGGGGTGGACACAACGAAGCTGGTGGATGGAAGGATTCAGCCCCTGTAACCTGCTGAGTCTGTGCCTCTGATGTGCTCGCAGCTACGTGAGCTCAGACAGCCTCCGGGTGGACACTCTGGAGGAGCAGTTCCGGGGGCACTTTGTGTCCATCAATCACCTCTTGCCAGATGACAAGGTGACCATGCTACACCACTCGGTGTACGTGAGGTAGGTGGCCCACGCTGGTGCTGAGTCTTCGTCTGGCTTTGTGAAGCTGGGCTCAGCTCCAGGAGCGAGTCTGCAGGGTGGCCACGGTGGTCAGGCTGGGCAGGTGCGGCAGCGGGGTGTAGGAGCCAGTACGGCCCAACAGAAAAAGGAAGGAAATGCAGTCGGGGAGTGACCTGTGTGACCGAGGCAGTGCTGTGCCTGTCACCAGCAGGGACTCCAGCTGTTTGGGAAATGGAAACAGGAAGAAAGGTAGGAAATAAGAAATCAAAAAGCAACTTGCTTACGAAGTCCCTCAACACCCTCACCTACTTTGCATGCTTCCCCACGAGGAAGGAGAACCAGGTGTCCTTGGCAACAAGTGGTCACCTGCAGGTGAGGGGGTTGCCTGCTGTCCCAGGTTGGACGGTGAGGGGAAGCCGCAGCCGGGTGTTCTGATCCACCCTCTCCTCCTGACACCTGGGACCACCCCCTGGGCTGCATGTCCTCTGTCTGAAAACAGGCCTCTCGCCTGTCCACCCTGGGGTGAGCAGCACCTAGGGCCTCCCTCACGTCCCATGTCCTCAGCCTTGTGACGCTAGCTTCTCTTGTATGGTGAGGCTGGGGCTCTAAAGGCAGAAAAGTTCCCAAGGTCTCGGGCTCCCCTTTCCCCTCATTATTGACAAAGCAGGTTCCTGGTCCCCACCAGTGTGGGGCCTGTGGGGCCTGATTTCTTCCAGAGCTTCTCACTGCTCCAGAGCCCTGTCTAAGGTGTGTGACCCAGGCTGAAAGAGTCCTGGATGGCCAGGAGTGCTGTCCCTGGGGGCCCTCTGTGTCCCCAAGGGCCAGGGTGTGGAAAATACTGGGTATAGACCCACAATGACACCAGGCATGTGCAGATGGTCTGTGTGTCCTCAGAGCCACGCGAGGCTTGGACACAGTAGCGCGGGGACCACTTCACGATGCTCCAGGGTCAGAGGAGGTGTGCAGTCTGGCTCCCTGGTTTGCTTTTTCTTTAAAACATACACCACAATTGTAATTCAAGAGTAAGGCAAATTAGAGTTGATTTTTCTTTCTTTCATTTTGGAGACTGAACGCAGGGGCACCTAAACACTGAGCCATATTCCCAGGCCTATTTATTTTTTATTTTGAGACAGAACTTCACTGAATTGCTTTGGGCCTTGCTAAGTTGCTGAGGCTGGCCTTGAACTTGTGATCCTCCTGCCTCAGCCTCTCGAGTTGCTGGAATTACAGTGTGGGCCACCGCACATGGTCTGGTTTTCTTTTACATCAAGACTAAGTTAAAAAAATAATAAAAGATGTCCATTTCATATGCCTCACATATATCTCAAAGCCTGCCATTTTTTCCACTTCAGGGAGGGCTGTGCCTCGGGTCACGCAGTTACCTTGAAATGCACAGGTAAGAGCTTCAGATGGCAGAGGACCAAACAGGAGTCAGGGCTCGCAATGTCCCATCCTCCTCCTTTCCCTCCCATGATTGCTCTGAAGCCCTCCTTCCCAGGTGCCAGGTGGGAACTCTGTCCCTCCATCCTGGAGGAGGGGCCAGGGCCAGGCTCACTTGTCAAGTGTGGAGACAGACCCAGGTGACTTCTTAGCAGTGGACAGGCCTAGGTCCCTGTGCACATCCTGAGAGCCTGGCTCACTGCCGCTCCCCCCTTGAGCACACACTGGCTGCCTAGGCCCAGGGGAGCTGCCGCTGGCTCCCAGCAGAAGGCAGAGTTCCCCTGGCTGGGGTCTGACACGGTCCTCCTCGCAGTGCGCATCTGGGGACCTCTGTGAGCTCTAGGTGGTGGCAACAATGTGGGGAGGAGCAAGTCTGGGGGGCGACTCCGTTTGCCCCAGAAAAGCTTGTGGATCTCCCCAGCCCGCTCTCTCCCTCCACAGTCTGTGGCCTGAGAACAGGATACAGCCCACGCATCGTGGGTGGAAACGTGTCCTCGCTGGCACAGTGGCCCTGGCAGGTCAGCCTTCAGTTCCAGGGGTACCACTTGTGTGGGGGCTCCATCATCACCCCCCTGTGGATCGTCACTGCGGCACACTGTGTCTACGAGTGAGTGGCCTGGCCTCCTGGTCTTCCCTGACCTCTGTCCTTGTCCTGGGTCAGGTGGGGTGGGCTGAGCTGGGTGGTGAGCAGACAGACCCAGTCACCACGAAGCCTTGTCCAGGTGGAGGGTTCCTGTCCTCCCCACCAAGGACCCACCATCACTGACTGGGAGGGACTGGCGACTCAGGCTCATTTGAAGAGTTGCAGACCTGCAGCTCATGCAGGAAAGGAAGAAAGAGGGGGAAGCCCAGCAGGAGGAGAGCCCCTGAACAAAGGCCCTAGAGCTTCGCGTAGCTAATTCCATCCACAGACTGTGTTCTAACTGCCATGCGAGACAGTGCAGCACGGGGTGGGGACAGGGTGCAGGACACCGAGTGCCCCAGAGCAGTTTCTCTCAGGAGTCTAGAGGGCAAGAAAACCACAGAAAAGATTTCCCAATGCAATGACTAATCTCCTGCTATTTTTACCTCCTGCTTCGGTTGCTGTGGGATGATAGGTCCCTTGCAGTAAGCAAAGCCGAGACTAGTTCTCAAATGCAGAGAAATCCTCAGTGGTGCAGAGTGAGGCCCATCTAGGATATACCCAGGCTTCGGGCCTGATTTCTGCAGGGCATAAGAGTGTGGTCAGATGCCAGGCACAAATGAGCAGGGTGCTAGACCATCTCTTGCTTGACGACATCTCCCACATCCCCTGGGCCCTCAGGACGCTGAGATCAATGGGTGGCATGATTGGGTTTTTCCTGTGCTTCTCCTCTGGGTCTGTTCATTTCAGCCTATACCTCCCCAAGTCATGGACCATCCAAGTGGGTCTAGTTTCTCTGCTGGACAGTCCAGAGCCCTCCCATTTGGTGGAAAAGATCATCTACCACAGCAAGTACAAGCCAAAGAGGCTGGGCCACGACATTGCTCTGATGAAGCTGGCGGGGCCTCTCACCTTCAGTGGTGCGTCTGGGTTTCTCTGTCATTCCATTGCTCTTCATTTGTTTCGAGAGAATTTGTGATTGCTTGTTGAATCACTTTTATGAAAGCTGCCTAATCTTTATCAGACCATTCCAGTGTCTGAATTATGTGTGTGTTTGCATGACTTGGTTGTCTTTTCACAGTTCTTGTCATAAATAATGTTCACTTATTTCCTGGACAATATGGCCATTATGTTAGGAGACTACACAAATTTTCAATTTTAGCAGACTGTCGCTTCTTTTAGATTTCGTCTGCAGCCTGGCCGTGTTTCCCATGCTGATTTAATTTCAGCGACTTCCTGGTGCTAGTCTAATCTCTGTGGACTGTTTGGTGCCATCTGGTGGCAGAAAGCTTCTTCAGGTCAGGGCAACCGATGCCTCTAGGTGGTGGAAGGGAGTCACCTTCTGCAGGGACAGAGCATGCTTGCCTGTCCAGGAGCTTGCTGTGTGAGGTCCTCTGCCTGGAGCCTCTAGGAGAGGAACAGGATCCCAGTCTCTAAGAGGCACAGCTGCCCGGTGGGTGTGGCAGGACCTGCCACCTCCTTACCAGCGGCAAGGTACCAGGCATCCTCAGCTCCTTGGAAATTCTCAAAAGAGTTCTCATCCTACCAGTTACGGAGCTCTGCAGGCTCCAAAAGGCCCTATTGCTTTGAGCCAAGTCCAGCCTCTGGGACATTTTGAAAATGATGGAAAGGACACACCTGATAGATCTCTCAAGGGTGTTGGGTCAGAGCCTCCCCAGGAAATCCCCCTGCCAAGGCCATGGGTGCTTGGAGGGCGGGTGGGCTCCCCTCTCTGAAACAGGAGCTTCACAGAGCAGCCGAGTCTGCCCACAGTGGCATCTGTGTGCCCCTCTTGAGCCTATGGGACATGGGGAAGGAAATGTTTCCAGAGTCAAAGGGAATTGTTTGCTACACACCGAGACACATCTCCTCATTGCTTTTTAGCCTTTCCATTATTGTCCCACCCAGAGAAGCACATCTTGGGATACACATGCAAGCCCTGGGCACTTGGGCACTGTTCCTATGGGTGGCACAGCCTCACATGCAGGCAAGCTTGCTGCCACGAGACACATCAGGAGTGGCAGGAATGCCCACGATGTGGTGCTCCCTAAGCAAAGTACCCACCCGAGCTCTGACCAGGGGGGCCCAACTCCACCTGTTGCCTGTTTGGGGAAATAAAACCGGCCTAGAGCATGGCCCCACTGCTGACCAGCACCAGTGGCTACTTCCATGCTCCAGAGGCAGAGCGGCGCGGTAGCGGCAGACACTGCTCAGCCCTCGGAGCCTGAACGACTTACTGTTCACAGCAAAGCCCTGCTGCCCCTCTAGGCCCACATGCTCGCCACTGTCCAGTTTGGGAGCTCTGGGTGGAGGGTGGGGTGGGCCCCCTACTCTGGGCTAGTTGTTTCCTCTGACCGGTGCTTCACTGACCTGAGCCATTTCCCCCTCTTCAAACAGAGATGATCCAACCAGTTTGTCTGCCCAACTCTGAGGAGAACTTTCCTGATGGAAAAGTGTGCTGGACGTCCGGATGGGGGGCCACGGAGGACGGAGGTCAGTGGTCTGGAATCAGATTCTGAGCTGAGGAGCTCAGAACTTTGGGACTGGGAAGGGGCTCCTCCAGGGTCCCCATGTGATGTCCCTGTGGGGTGCAGAGAGCTCCCAGCCGCGGGTACATGCACTCCCCCTGCGGCGTGGTGAGGGTCACGAGACATGGTGCCACCTGTCTGAGGACTACACGAGGTGCTGAGGTTCTCAGGGGAGAAATGAAACTCCAGGGAGAACATCATCAGGGCCCCCGCCTGCCCCTCCGCCTCCCACCCATTAACTAACATGTGGAGCCTGCCTGGAAGAGACTCTGAGCAGTCAGAGATGGGTATCAGGTGGAGAAGTTGTGCCTGTGGGACTTTGGAAAGGTGTGATATTTCATCTTACAAAGGTCAAGTAGAAAGAGCCACCTGATGGGATCTCATTGCCCTGATAACAGCAGAAGTAGCCATGCAGACAATGCAAGCAGCAGATGAATAAACCCAGCCTCTGTCTTCAGAAGAGTGGGGTGCCCGTGTGGTCACGGCAGGGTCTCCATCAACTGCTCCTTGTTAGGAGGAGTGGTGTTGGTTTCCCGTGGTTGCCGTGGCAAATGGCTGCAATCCACTGGCTTAAAACTGCAGAAACGGAACGTCCCACATTTCTGGAGGCCAGAAGTCGGAGGTCAGGTGTGGGCAGGCCTGCTTCCTCCCCAGGCTCTGCAGGGAAATTTGCTCCAGGCGTCTCCTGAGGGTCTGGTGGCACCCACCGCCCTCTGTGCTCCTTGGCTTATAGATGTGTCACTCCAGGTTCAGTCTCCATCTCCACGAGGTGTTCCCGTGTTGCTGTGCCTCAGATCTCCTTCTCCTTTGTCCTGTAAGGACTCCAGTCACTAGGTCTAGGGCCTGCCTGAGTGCAGGATGATCTCGCCTTGAGATTCTTCCCTTCATTACATTTGCAAACACTGAGTTCCAAATAGCATTGGATTTCATGGTTGCATGTAGTATGTTGGGGTGGCCCAATTCAACCAAGGGCAGCAAGCTCCCTGTTCTCCGTTAGACAGCTGTGAGCTGAGTCGCCCTCTGGAAGGCACGCGGGAGCCTACCAGGACCATGGTGTCCCTGGGCCTTGCTTACCCAGCTTTCCCAGCAGCACCCCCAGTGGTGTCCATCCTGGCTCAAGGTCCTTACAGTGCTCACTGGTTTCAAGCCCACCCACCCACTCAGTCAAACCGTCTGCCAACATGGTCCGCACAGGGGCTCCCAGCTCCATCAGAACCAGCCTCTGCTTTGTGGAGCCAAGCAGGGAAAGCAAACCATGCCCACTCTCTCCTGGGAGCGCTCACTCAAGACCACCCAGCCCACCAGAAGGATTGAATCACAGGGGACTGGGAAGAGGAGGGGCTGCAGGAGATCCCCCTTCTCCCTGGTGCATCTGCTCAGTTTCCCACCAAGCCCGCCTCTCCCTCTCCCTGCCAGGCCCTGTCCCAGGGGCTTGCCCCCACCGCCTGTGTGCAGAAAGCTCCTCCCACACCAGAGCTCTGTGCAGGGAGCTCCTCCTGCACCCAGAGTGGTGTGCACGGAGCTCTGTGTGTCTGCCTGCTCCTTCAAGCAGCCCCAAGGAGTGCTATCACTGTGCTCATGTGTGGGTGAGGACACAGGCAGAAGGGGGGGCACCCCTTGCCCAGGTTCTCACAACCAGCTGGCCCAAGGCCTGGGGTCCACCTTCAGCCTCCCACCCTGCCCTTCGCCAGGGCCATCTTCAAGAATTAGGAGTACCCGGAGAAGAGTACTTGACCCCATGGAATCTCTGTGGGGTGGGTGGAGATGGCTACTCAGCCGGACAGCAGCACTGGGCAGTCCCACTGAGGGTGAGATGTGGGGAGGACCTGGGCCGACAGAAAACGCAGGTGACGCTCACTTGTGCACTTACGATGTGGACTTTTATTGGTGTGTATAATTACACACATGGTGGGATTTCTTGTTTCATATTTGTACATGAACATAACATAGCCATGTAATTTGGCCAATTAAAATGTGGGTTTTGAGGAGCACAGACCCACACACCCCTGCTTGTCTGCCAGGGGTGGAGAGGAAGGACCCTCTTGCCTCAGGACTCCACAGTGAAAAGGCAAGTTCTCGTGGAGCGGTCCACCCCTGTCAGTGGTCAGGCAGACGCACCTCAGGGTATTGGTCTTCCGTGGCTGCTGCAGAAAACGACCCCCAACTTAGTGGCTTAAAATGAGAAACTTATCACCTTACAGTTATGGAGGTCGGGAGCCCAGAGTTGGCCTCAGTGGGCTGAAGAGTGTTGGTGGCTGGCGCCCTCTGGAGGCTGGGGGACAATCTGCTCCTCCTTCTCCTCCTGGGCTCTGCCCTTGCTCCAGGGCCAGGAGCTCAGTGCTCTCCAGCCTCTCCCTGGTCCTGACCTCTGCTTCCGTCCCACACCTCCTCTGAGTCTGTTAAGCCCTGTGACTTCACTGAGTTCACCCACATAATCCAGATGGGGTCATGGTGCATACCTGGGTCACACCTGCCAGGTCCCTTTTGTCAGCTGTGGTGACTAGTCACAGGCTCCAGGGATTGAGATGGGCATGTTCTTGGAGGGCATTTTTCTGCTGACCACTGCAGGGCTCTGCCCAGATGCTGTAGGTGACCTTCATGAATCTCAGTTTCCTTCCTGGAACCTGGACTGGCTGGTGTGTCGGGAGCCTGGCCCACGACAGGCCCTGGGGTGGGGGGACCCTGGTTCAGATGCCCCGTGTCCTCCTTCACTCCAGGCTCCTTAGGGAAATGAGTGACCTTGCCTTGCCGCCCACTCAGGAGGGGGTGAGGCTCTAGGCATGGGATGTCCACAGCAGGAGAGTCTGCTGGCCACCCACGGGCCCTGGCCATGACCACCGTTGCAGCTGGGCAGCCTGCCCCTCGTGCCTCACCACCCAAGTCCCCAGCACACACTCTCTGCATCTGAGCTGGGCCTCCTCCTCCCTGGACATTCCCTTCTTGCTTTGGAGCAGGTGACGCGTCCCCTGTCCTGAACCATGCAGCTGTCCCCTTGATTTCCAACAAGCTCTGTAACCACAGGGATGTCTACGGAGGCATCATCTCCCCTTCCATGCTCTGTGCTGGCTACCTGAAAGGTGGTGTCGACAGCTGCCAGGTAAGGGCTCCCGGCGGCCCTGGGGTCGGGGCAGCGGGCAAGGGTCCAGGAGTGACCCAGCACGTGAAACAGGCCACCACCAGCCCTGTGATTGAACGAAAAGCAAATTTACACAGCGTGGGGAAGAAATTTGCTTAAGATATTTGCCTTTCCTGGCGGCAGGGGCTGGTGTTTACCCAGTGCTCTGGGTCTGCAAGGCCGCTGGACTGGGGAGGGCCTTTCCCTCCTTCCCCCAGCCCAGTTCTGAGTGTGTGAGGGGCTAATAGAGAGGGAGGCAGGTGGGAGCCAGTGAACCCGGGTCCCCAAAAGACACAGTGGGCAGGACTCTGATCCTGCCTGGTGGACGACAGGACGCTGAGGGTCTGTCCCAGGCAGACTTCCTTGGCCACCCTTGACCCTCATGGGCTCAGTATCTGAGACCTGGCGGGAGACACAGCGGGAGGGAACCTGCCCCAGTGGGGCCTTGGGTCCACGCTCTTGGAACGCCAGCGTGTGTTCTAGAAGGGCTGCTGGGGAACACAGAGCCGTCCTCCTGTGGAGCCTGTGAGGCTGTAAGGGGGGAGTCCTGTGCCGTGGCCAGGGCACCCGTGACTGTGCCGTCCCCTTGACTTTCGCCTCCTTCCTGCCATCCAGGGAGACAGTGGGGGGCCCCTGGTGTGCCAAGAGCGCAGGCTGTGGAAGCTGGTGGGTGCCACGAGCTTCGGCATTGGCTGTGCCGAAGTGAACAAGCCCGGGGTTTACACCCGCATCACCTCCTTCCTGGACTGGATTCACGAGCAGATGGAGGTGGGTGCCGGCTCCGGCAGCTCGCACGGGTTCCCCCGTGGCCCAGCTGTGCTGCAGAGAGCCAGAGGAGCCAGTGGCTACTGATTCAGCGAGTGGAGATTTGGTGGCTTCAGGGCATCAGTCCTCTAGCATGGCTGATCCTTGGGTGACACCACTTGTAGGTGTGGTCCTGGCACACTGAGGAGGGACCCCAACTGGGACGAGAAGAATGGAACTGCTTTACCCAGCAGGGCAAAGGGCAATCCCAAAGGAGGGGTGGGGCCAAGTCAGGTGTACCATGTGCACCCACAGAGGTTGGGTGGTGGGGTGACCATGGACACCATGGAACTGGCCACAGAGGGCCTTGGACGCTCCCTACAGAACTGCCCCTTGCTGGGAGCTAGGATGGAATGGAGGTCTCCAGTGTGCAGGGCCCAGGCTGTGCTTCTTGGGGGGTCTGCCTGGGAGAGAAGTGGGAAGGGCCGGCAGGGGAGCCCTGGTCAGTAAGTGGCTCGTCAGGCCCTGGGCAGGCAGGCAGAGCCCTGAGTCTCCAGGCCGCTGACACTTGCTGGACACCAGGAGATGGGAATTTCCAGTGAGCACAGGCCCCGCTGTGATGGTAGAAGGTGGGGGTGACCCCAGCCCTCCAGAGCAGGCCGGGAGGCAGGGAGGTGAGGCCAAGCTGTGGCCTCCAGGGCACTTGGCAAATATTTGCTGACTTGGCCTCAGACTGAGTCTCATATTACTCTTTGGATCAGTTTTGAAGACCTTTCCCTGACTCCTAATTCAGGTTAAATTTCCATAGCAAAGAACGAACCATTTTAAAGTGAACAGTACCATGTATTTCTGACATTGACGATGTCGTGTGTCCTCTAGGTCACACAGCATTGTCATCGTCCCCAAGTGAACCTGGTCCCCTTTTAACAGCCCTCCCCACTTCTCCAGCCAAGTACCCACCACTCTGCTTCCCGTCCCTGTGGGTCAAAGACCATTTCAAAATGCTCTTCGCATTTGAAATAATCGAGGAAGAGAGGACACCAAGCGCCTGGTGTGCCTCAGGCGTGGACCCCTGGTTTTTCCTCTTGATTTTTTTTTCTGCTTCGAATGAGAAGATGCCTGGTTCCCAGGGCTCAAGGGGAGGCCCACGACTGGTTCTGGTCCCAGCACCTCTGCTCTGTGGCAAGGGCCTGTGAGCAGCTTGCCGTCTCCCCGCAGGGCATGCGAGGCCTTCGGAGCCTTGTCCCGGGTGGCAGATACTACGACCCTCCTTGCATGACGGGGAGGAAACCTGCTCAGGGCTTCCGAATTATAAAGGGGGCGAGAATGAGTCTAAGCAGATCCCAGACCGTCACCCAGTGTGGCTCTGCACAGTGGAGCCACCAGATCTCCAACTTGGGATGCGGAAGACCCTCCCTGGCTGCTGTTGCCACAGGACCTCCTCCAGACAGGCTGCCTGGGGGTCTGGGCGTGAGGACCTGGTGATCTGTGTGCACAGGGTGTTCGGGGCCCTCTGAGAAATGCCGGTCCCTGTGCTTTGGCTCCCTGAAACGCTTCAGAATAAGTTCTCACCACTCTCAGGAAGCAGCCTGCTCTCCGAGGAGTGGCTGGCAGGTGCCTTTGACGCTCTCTGTGGGGCATCTTAGTCGTCTGCCACCTCTGACCACGGAGTCTGCAGGAGATGTCCCTGGTTGTGGACCTGATTTGGGGTCACCCCTCTGACATCCTGGAGGGACTTAGAAGTGGCTTCCTCTCCCCTGCGTGGTCTCGGAGGTGTTCGCTGTCCGGCTTGAGCTCGTCATGGGCCCTTCCAGCACTGGCCTGGTTTGGCAAACTGTGCTGTCAGTCACAGGGTCGCTGTCACACTATCTTCTGTAGCCTGCTGGGTCACAAAGCCAACTGTTCTGACTCCTCCAGCATGGAACCCCATGCTAAGTCCTAGGTTCCAGGGGAGGGCATGGGCTTCTCTGGGCGGTGAGGAGAAGCGGGCAGCCTTGCTGGGCATCGGGTTTCACACACAGCCGCAGCCTGCTCCCTTGAGGCCAGGCTTGTCCTCACTGGTCATGGAGACACTCGTCAATGACGATGCTGACCCTCTGTTTTTCTCTCCTAGAGGGACCTGCAGACTTGAAGACTGGGGGACATGCTCCACCAGCGCTCTCGAGGGAGACGGCTCCATCCTTCCCTGGACTCCTGTGTGGGTACATTGGACTGAGCGGGTGCCTCCAGGGTTCTGCTCAAGGCATGAGTAGCAGAGCCCCAGGGAGGTGCCTCCTGGCGCTCTTCCAATGCCGCGGCCCGGGGCTCTGGGCTGAAGTGAACCTGGAGCTCCTTATTGCCTCCCACCAGGCACAGAAGCAGGCTGTCCCCAGGCGCAGCCTTTCCCACCAGCCCAGGGCTCTTCTGTGCAGGGCCGTGCAGAGCACCATGGCCACGTGGCCACACACGGGGACCCGGGGCCCTGGAAGCCATCCCTGTAGATGCAGCTCTTCCCATGTGTCCTCACAGCCCGGTGCTTGGCTCCTCATTGGCCTCTGGCTTCCTGAGAACCCTGCATCTCGCTCTTGGCTGAGTGCCGACGGCCCTGTAGCTGGAGGTCCTGAGACCGCAGCCTCTTCTTTGATCTCTTCTGTGCCTGTTGTGCAGTTTGCGTTTTCTGTTGGAGCAGGTTTCTTAGCAGGTTCCTGTTGCCTCATATTACAGTACAAGACTCACAAAGTCAGAAGAGATGAAGTCCTGGGTAGAAAGGGGCCACCAGCTCCCACCCAGGGCCACTAAAAACAAGAAGAGTAGATGGCCGCAGGTCAACTCCATGGAGTCTGTTCATCTTCCGCACACCTACCCCTCCCAGCTGACCCCCCTGCCCTGAGTCCCATGTCACATAGTAACAGAGGAGGGTCACTCGGTGAGTCTCACTGGCCACTGGTGCTTGTCACAAATTAAGTCATCAGAATCTGAATCAGTCGCTTTGCATGTGGCAGTGGTGAACGAGGTCAGTGAGTTTAAAAGAGAGCAGGATGTGATCAGGTGCCCGGGGCGGAGCAGCTCCAGGAAACTAGTGCGCGCGTCTGTGTGTGTGTGTGCGCGTGTGTGCACACACGTGTGTATTGAGGACAGGTGAAGTACAAGAGCTAGGGCAAACTGGCTGGCAGTGGCTGAATTTGGATCTCCCCACCACACCAGAGCCATGGACAGATTTCCACCCAGTCCAGCCCTTGTGCTCGGGGAACACTGCGAGACCCTCATGGATGCCTGAGGCGGGGGTAGTTCTGAACTCTCTCCATATCATGTTTTCCCTATATATACACACACATCTCTGGTAAAGTTTAAACTAGTCAGAGGAAAAGATTAAAAGTAATAACTAATGATAAAATAGAGCAATTCTGAGAATTGGTGTGGATGTGGCCTCTCTCTTTCAAAATATCTTTTGATATTTTACCTTTGCCTGAAGGAAGCTCCTCATGGCTTCTCTTTGGCATACTCAAACTGCCAGCATCACTTCTCTTGAACCTGGGGACCATGACTAAGTAAAATAAGGGTCACTTGGGCATAACACTGCTCTATCACGACAGCTAATCTTATAGTTGAGATGATTCTAAGTGACTAAAAGGTGGGTGGTATACACAGTGTGGATACACTGCACAAAGAAATGACTCACATCCTGGGCAGGATGAAGCAGAATGGCATGATATTTCATCACACTGCTCAGAATGGCGTGTCATTTAAAACTTACTGATTGTTTATTTCTGGAATTTGCCACTTCGTAGTATCAGACTATGATTGAGTTTGTGTAATTGAAACTTTGTAAAGAGGAACCTTGGGTAAGAGGGGAAGTCCGTAATAGAAAATGTCCAGCCCAGTTTTACAATAAGTCTTTTTGCCCATCTGTCTTTGGAAACAGCAAATATCCACAGTGTGAAGGGGAAAGACTTCCTGTGCACCATCTTGCTGGAGAAACAAGTTTCTACTCTGTTGTGGCTTCTACCTTCTCTAACTGCTGCCTAATTTTGTTAGGAGATGTCTGGAAGCTGACGAAAGACACTGGGTAATGCAGACAGGAAATGAGCCCGCGGGTGCTGGGGCCTGAGCCCGTTCTGTGCACATTGCATGTTTGCCTGCCTTATTTTCACAAAGGTTCAGTGAGAGAGGGACTGTATGATTCTCTTCCGTGGATGAGATGATGTGAGAAGTGCAGCACTCTCCCAGGGTCCCATGGAGGGCCAGTGGTGTATCTGGGATTTGGAGTAGCTCATCATACTACAGGAAAGAAAGCAAGACGGAGTCAGACACTTTGGCCTTTGAGGCAGAAGTTTCTTGTGCCAGCTGTTTGGAGCCATGGAGACATGTTAGTGAATCCAAGTCCTGATCGACTCTCCTCCTCCAAGGAGGTATTTGCTTCCACTGCTGCAGCTTAGGCCGTTCTGGTGCCTGAGAGCCAGGCCAGGAGGGACAGTCATGGCAACAGCCCTCTTGCCTGCAGCCATCTCCAGAGAAATGGCTGGAGGATACACCAGAGACCAAGAGGGCTGCCCGTGGCTGCCTGGGACCTGAGGGCCAGCTGTGGACATTCCTGTCCTGAGATGGTGAATGTCCCCATAGCCATCCAGGTCAGAGCCACCAGAAACAGCAATCTCAATAGTATTTCCTATAACTTTAACGTTTAACAAGAATTATACAAGACCCAACAACAGCCAGGCGAGGTGGCATTCACCTGAAATCCCAGTGACTCTGGAGATTGAGGCCGGAGGATGCAAGTTCAAGGCCAACCTGGGCAACTTAGTGAGACCCTGTCTCTGTCACTGGGCAACTTAGTGAGACCCTGTCTCTGTCACTGGGCAACTTAGTGAGACCCTGTCTCAATAAATAAATAAATAATAAATAAAATAAAAAGGGCTGGGAATGTAGCTCAATCTGGTCAAATGCTCAGAACCACAAAAAAGGAGAAGGAGAAGAACTAACAACATTCTAGAAAAGAGTGGGGGGAAAAGTCTGTTAAAAATTGGCCAATAGTTTATTTGCTTTTTTATTTAATTTAATTTTATTTGTTTGGTCAACAATTTAAATATCATAGTTGGCCATAAAAACCTGAATGCTTGCCTTCCTCCTGGTACAGAAGGTGCCTGCCTGAATTGGGGACACCCTGATGACTGTGACCTCCAGTTCTCCTCATCTGAAGCAGGAGTGTCGGTCACAGATGCAGGGCAAAGCCCCAAAGCCCCACAGAATGGAGAATCCCGGCCTCAGGCACACTGGCCATCAGATGGGCAGGCGCAACTTCTGAGGACCAGCCTCAGCCACGGGGAGGCGGAAGGGACTGAGCCCAGGGGATGGGAAGCCCAGCCAGGGCCCAAAGAATAAAGCTTCTGTTGTGCAGATCTCCAACATCCACTCTGATCAGCCCGTTTAGATGGAGTCGACAGAGTCCCCTATGGGCCATGTCCCCGTCAGCCTGTGACCGAAAGCCTCACTTGGCCTGCTGCTCGGCTGGAATGTTCCCTGTGTGACAGGGTCTCAGGGGAGCTGGGCCTGCAGAGTCGACTGACCACGCAGAGGCAGATTCTGCAGCTTGCTGCCTCATTTGTCTCCTTGGGGGAACGGTCTTCGGGGAGTGGTCGAGTTCCCTCTGAACTTTGTGGCCCCTCTCTTTCCTCATGATACCTGTGTGTGTGTGCACAGACCTGCTGGTATGTGTGCACAGACCTGCTGGTATGTGTGCATGTGTTGGCACTCCCATGGCAGCATGGCCACTAGCTCATGAGTCACTCACTCCACACTGAGACTCAACTGAGAGCGAAGCTGTTCCATTCTCCCCATGCTCCTGGCACCAGGCCAGAGTCCAGGACCCATAGGAAGCCCAGGAGCTTGGAGACATGAATGAACAGCCACCACAAAACAAGCCACCCCTCCACGGATTGTCCAAGTGCTGCTGCTTCGCACGCGGGCACACTTCTCTCTTGGAAACAGGCGAGAGTCGGCCGAAGGCAACATAAATTAGTCACATGATTGGTTTCTCCACTTACAAGTGCAGAACACACTGGAGGTGAGGAGGTGGAGCCCTGCCACATCTCTGGGTCCCCCTGGGCTCTGGTCTGCATTAGGGTGATCAATCAGAAACACAGTAATCCAAGGTCCAGTTCAAAGAATGGTCGAAATACTACCCCAGCTGGCGGGAAGCTGCAACAGGAGGCTTCCTTCCGAGGAACAAGGGGAAAGCAGGGGTGGTGTTGGGAGCCGCTCTCACACTGGAGTCGGGGTCGGGTGCGTGCTGGACTCTCGGTGGCATTTTCTCCCTTCATCTGGGTGCCACGCAGAGGCCCCACCCTCCTCCTGCCTTGACAAGGAGCTGGCTGATAGGGCCCAGCTGTGCAGGCAAGCTGGGCCTCCTGTCCCCTCCTCACCTGCCTCGGCCACTTGCTGACCCCTCGTTCTGCTGGGGGTCAAGGGTGGGAGGATGTAGTCCCTGTACCTGCAATTGCCCCTCTTCTGGCTCCCCTGGCCTGGAGTGGCCCAGCAGGCAGGGTGGGGCAGGAGCTGCTGATGTTGGAACATTTTAATGTCGATGATGTTAAAATGTAGGTGCATTCCAGTCGTGTGGACCAGCAGGTGTGCTGCCACGCACCTCTTGCAGAACAAACCTCTGAACTAGGCTTGCTTTGGCCTGTTAGGACCTGACCTGTCAACTCCGATAGGTGTGCAGAGACATATATTTGTGGTTCTGATTTGGATTTCCTGGTGGCTAACATCTTTTCATGAGATTGCTGCCATCCTCTTTAGTGAAACATCTCTGTGCTCTTGGCCCATTTTTTAAGCGGATTGTTTTCTACTGTTGCATTTTGTTGCATCTTTTTATATTCTGGATACAAATCCTTTGCCAGATGTGTAGCTTGCGAATATTTTCTCCCAGTCTGCAGGCTGTCTTTCTGTCCCTGTCCACTGGGCTTTCCTAGAGCCGGAGGATGAACTTTGGTGTGGTTCCGTTGGCGTTTTCCTTGTACATCTGGTATTCAGAGTGCCAACTTGAAGAACCCTTTGCTTAGTTCTAGGTCCTCAAAGTTTGTTTTTGTTTCCACTTTTTTTACATTGGTGCCTTGTAGTCGTGCATAACGATGGGGTTTGTTGTTACATGTTCTGTAAAGATTTTCGCCTATTTTTCTCAAGGTTCTATATTTTATTATATCTCAGTTTTGATTCTATGATGGATTTGAGTTTCTTATCAGGTGTTTCAGCGCCATTTGGTGAAAGGCTTTCCTTCTTCCACTGAATTGGTTTTGCTCCTTTGCCCAAATCTGCTGGTGTGTTTGTGTGAGTCTGTTTCCTAGTTCTCTCTTTTGTTTGTTGATCTGTGTGTCTATCCATCTGCCACGACCACACTGCCACTCACTGTCCCTAAAACAGTGAGCCTATATGTCCTGATCTTCTTGTTCAAGCCTGTCTCGGTTATTCCGGGGCCTGTGTCTTGCATATCAGCTCTGAAGTGAGCTTGTGTGTGTCTCTAGGAAACCTGGCTGGGCTTCTGCAGGAGCTGCTCTCCCCTGTGGCCAAGCCAGGGGACGGACTCTGGGCCTGCCTTCCCAGGCACAGACATGGCGTGTCTGCATTTTCCAGAATGTCTGGCTTCTTCCCTCAGAACCTCGGTGTTTCCAGCATA